AAATATTTAGTATAAAATGAAACGGAAAAAACGCAGTCTTTGACTTCGCAAGCTAATTAAATTTACTACATTTTAGTAGTAAAATATTTCATTTGGGAGTTAGCATGCATATTTAACGTGGTTATGTCAAACATAACATAGATGGTAGATGGAGATGCTGCAGGAAACAGTGCAGGAAAACTTGTTCTATATTTGAAAATTCCATTTTTGGAAGCTCGCACCTAACCATATAGGTGTACCTATATTATTTTAATATTGAAAATAATATAGGTGCACATTGCTTAATTTATTAATATATGCAACCTTCTTTCGTGTTGAATTAATTACAATATCAAATGATGATGGGTCGATACTGACTCCATTCGATACGACTACTTTTTTTCAATACCTACTTGGTATCGCAACCGTACGTATCGATACCAAAAGTAGTCGGTATCGAAACAAAAGTATCAAGTAATGTACTCGATGTATTCACTTGTATCGATTCATCACTACAGACGGCTGAACAGAAGTCATATGAATAGCATTTCGAAGACCACTTGTATACTCGTTCTTCGGCTACAGCGAGCATTCTATGGACCACTTGTACACTCGCGAGCAAACTCGGCTTTCGCTAGGGAAAAAGGTGGCATAGGGGAAGGGCCTTTTAATACTTGGTATCAGGAATTACTGGAATTTATGCCAAATTAACATTCGGTTTAACATTCATTTCAGTACTTGAAATAAATTTATCAAGTGCTAGAAAGCCCTTCTTCTACGTTTCTTTTACTGTTTTCACTAGTGGAAGCCGAGTTTGCTCCTAAGTGTACATATACTCGTCGTCTGTACCGAAAAAGTTAAATCCAATGGTCATGTAACGGTGATGAATTATTCGCTGCCGTTTAGAAAGACGATGCTAATGAATATCACACGATGGCACAATGTCGATTATCATCGAATCCGTTCGAGTCGACTATGAATACGTTATATCGGATAGCACAGGAACGAAAGAAACCTACAAAAGCAACACGTTCGCGTTCGATCGAATACCTATTGCGATAGAGTATAGAGACTTCATTCGGCTTCCCCCGGATTCCTTTTATATTAGCTGAACCTATGCGACAGAAACAACCGTTGCGTCTATTTTGATACTGTAGTTTCAACTTATTTTATCGACGGGAAGATTCAACTTTTAGTTGGACCTTTTTTCAGCTGAAAACAGGGCAACATAGATTTCTTAAATACACAGAACTTGATCACCGTATTTTGACCATAATTATACATGAATATCAAGGAAATGGAATATGATTACTCTAGAAGAGCATTGGTTCATTGCTGATATATATTTCAGATTTAATATTATTAATAGACGTAGATTGTCTAATCTTGTTGGAAATAGTTCATCTATATGCACCTTTCAGATATACACATTAGGAACAGAACTACTATGTTTATAAAATATACATATACCTCTCCCTATAAATGGAAGTATGGTTTGCATTACAACATCAATCGTGTACTTCTGGCTAATAAATTATATCAGAATAATATTAGTTCACAGTTGTGACCAATACTAGTGTTAGTAAAAAGCATATTTGTACAATTGTTGCAAAAATATCTTGTTGCATAAAAGGAAACACGTTCTCTGAAAAATCTAAAAATTTTTCTACCAAATCGAAAGTTTAAAATAAAATTTGTTAATATTACTAAATTTGTATACACACTTCGTGTACATACATACATATTCTTTATTTATGTGAAAACTGAATTTGATAACGGATCATGCACGCATGCTTTCAAATATGCTACTTGCACTAAACGTTGACAGCAATATAGTACTGCTACTAAATCTTAATTCTAAGTTCATGTCAAATTATTATAAAATCTTAATAATATGTTACCACTACTAATATTAAAAGCAGACGTTTTTGATGATCGAACAAATAGCTGGGCCCAAATAAACACTTACTCATCTGTCTTTAGATGTGTTTTGGGGTAAATTTCTTCAAAATATGCAGGTCCTTTTATAATATGTTAATATAAACAATTGTGCGCTTTAACTAGTTTCTGCAAGCGTGAATGATGCGTCATGTTTCTGATTTTCTTAGGCAAAATCGACTTAGACATTGACTTACGAAGGTTAATAAATACTTCTATAAGTAGAAATAGTCAGTGATGGATAGCATAGATGGGCAAATTTGTTATTTAAATAAAAAATTTCAAATAACGAATAAAAGATGAAAAAGTACATCGCCATTCTTAATAGCATAGCCGTGAAAATTTCAATTTTAAAATTTCAATTGTTTCGTTTCATAAACTGTTCAAAGGTCAGGGTGACGATCCCAGATACTGCTGCTTTTTACGAATAAATTGTGACCAACTCTGGTGGATAGGCAACCAAGCTCACAATCAGTAGTATACAGGGTGTTACCTCTAACGCGACGCACGATGTTTCACCCACTTGCAGCCATCTGACAAAAAAGTTTACAACAAGAGATGCAAGGTATGTAGTGCACAATAGATATCAGTAAAAAAAAATTCGAAAACAATTTGTTTTCATGGAAAAATCGAGGTCACCTTGGGTTTCACAAATAGGAACAGATATTTTTTTTTATCATATTTAGAGGACATCGAGACGAATTCGAAACACTCTCAAAATAATCTCTTCGGTGTCAAATAATGTTTACACTGTCGTAAAGTCAAACAATGAAAAAAAGCTACATATTTCACATTTCCACTGCTGTAAATCGAGTAATATGTTAGTAAAAATATCATGTAATAGATGTTTTGAATTCACTTCGATGTCCTCTATATATGGTAAAAAAAAAATATGTGTTCCTATTTGTAAAACCCAAGGTAACCCCGTTTTTGCCATGAAAACAAACTGTTTGCGTAATTTTTTTACTGAAATCTATTGTACAGTCCATACCCTGCAACTTTTGTTGTAAACTTTTTTTTGTCAAATGGCTGCAAGTGGGTGAAAAATCGTGCGCCGCGTTAGAGGTAACACCCTGTATATGTATAACTTACAAATGTATATGCAGCAAACGAATCCTCAAACTTGAATCCCTCAAAAAAAGCTCGTACACGACTGTTTTTACTCAAAATTCTAGTTTTTGTTTTCGTACAAACAAATATCTATACGGTTGTATCACAACTTATTGAAAACCCTATACACAAATTACAGTCCATAAGGTACCGTAGTTCCTTTGCGAAAAATACGAATTGATCGATTTCCCTGGTGTTTTTTAATTAAAACGCTATTCGAATGTGAAATAAACCGGAAAAGTCACTGCTCGATTCCATACTATTAAAAACCTAATATTAAAAAAAAAATAAGGAACACATTAATAAAAAATGATAAAAGTAATGCACAATCCATAATCTGAGCGAAACAGCAAAATTTTTACAGTCGGACCAGATGTCATAATATGTGTGAATAGTAGTGTACTCAGAGTTGGGCACACTTTTATTCATGAAAAGCAGCAGTATCTGGGATCGTCATCCTGACCTTTGAACAGTTAATGAAATGAAATAATTGTTTGCCAAGTGTCTATTCATTCGAGAAGAAGTATTATATTATGGTAAAAATTGAAATTTTCACGGTTATGCCATTAAAAATGGCGATGTACTTTTTCATCTTTTATTCGTTATTCGAAATTTTTTATTTAGATAACGAATTTGCCCATCTCTGAGTGTACTGTTGCACCGAAAATTTCTATCCATATAGTAATAATAAAAATAATAACGACGATGATAATAACAATGATAACAGTAACTGAAAATAAAAATGCTATCAATTGAATTAGCACCAAGACCGTGTTTATCGATAACAGTCTAAAGAACAGGAACACCCTCTTCTCGCGAGTGCCATATCACGGCGTATCGCGAGCCATTGTTAACAGCCTGTTCATTATTCGAAGTTAATTAAACTGACGATCCGGCGTAGTCACGACACGTAATTAGCGTCGTCGACAGAAACAGCCGTGAAAAAATCCACGTACTTGACAATCCTGATTCTGCGTTCGGAATGCATCGTTATCGTCACCACAAAAACGATAAACACTTCAGATGCGATCGAAATACTTATATGATCAATACCCGCCCAGGAGCAGCCAACTCTGAACGGCAAAGCAGCGGGTAACGAAATTCAAGGTTAAATTTTGCTCGATATTTAGTGCAATGAGTTCAGCGTAAAATTCACTTAAGATAGATCCCACTTTTTTTTTTAAATAAACGCTTGAAAAATTGATTTTCTGCTGAATTATAAAATTAAACCGAACCTTTGGACTATTTGAAAAATGTAAGTGTAGTCACTGTATAAGGTATTGTAAAGTTCATCCCCTAATTATTCTCCCTGTAATAATCCTCGAATACCCGATGCTTCCAACGATTTGTGTTGACTGGGCCCGTTTAGACCCCTCCCGATGCACTTTGCTTTCTCGCTCCATTGCATAAGAATTGGATTCGCTTCTTATAAGAATTCTATTTTCCTCTGTTCAATAGTTCAGAAACTCTGTAAAACCTGTGTCAATAATGGACGTAGCCACGGTCCTCCCCGAGGGTTAACCTATATCACAATCTCTCCAGTCGCAAGGTCAGATCCGGTGGTTCAGAGATCCCCGCCGATGCTCCACCCTTCCGAACCTCTAATTCTATCCTCTACGTGTCGACTAAAAAACTATACAGCTAAGACAAAAGCTAGACACTAAGACAGAAGCAACTCCGTCAACTTATTACTCCCTCAATATCCCCTTCTACTTCTACCATAAATCACCTGGATCTCTACTATCAATGGAATACGCGGCGCAAACATCATGGCAGAACCTATAAGATCACTCCGTTCCGAGAGACAGACGTGTCATCACTGAACAATTAACAGTCACACCGAAGTGACAATGTTGGACCGTCCTAGAACTTCAGGCGTATCACTGAACGATTAACTACCACACCGAACTAACACAAGGTTGGTCTACAAGACAGACACGACAGAATGGTAACTTCCAGAAAGGTAGACTCACCTTGACGAAATGCAGATTCTCCTTGTCGAGGAGGAACTCCATGGATTTGTGTGGCCGTTGGTTTATGGTGGACGCGGTGCCGTCGTCTTGGGGGCTCCTGTGGGAAGCGCCGACGGGCGACTGGGGTACGTGGAGGGCGTGCTCCGGCCTGGGCCGCGGGGCGGTCGAGGTGTGATTCAGATTGAGCAGGCTCCTGGTCTTCTTGCCGGTTGTGGTTGTAACGGCGGCGGTGACACTGATGTTCGTAGAGGCGGTGGTCGTCGTCGACGGCACGGCCTCGTCAAGGTCGGTCTCGAGCAGGCCGACCGGACGCTCCTGGGCGGCCTGCATCGTACGGGCTCTCGCCATCTCGATGGCCGCCGGATTTCCAAGGTCCGTGGCCGCGCGTCGGCGCGACGAAGACGACGCCGCCGCCGGCGACGCGCCCGTCGACGGTCTCGAGCTCAGCGCCCCGACGCGGGGTGGTTGCGGAGGCAGGGGCGGCTTGCTGGATACTGGCGCCCTCCCGTTTGCGCTGCGGAAACCAAAAGGAAATTCGACGTGTTACAACTGTCGTTTTACAGGAACGTTCGCGGTGGATCGAATGTTGATACCTAAGTGATTGTTCAGAACAGGGACTTGTACCCAAAAAATGCCGGTATTATACCGGTATTTTTCGGTTGTACCTTCATAACCCTAATAGAAACTGAAATACGAAAATACCGGTATAATATAATACCACTATACGAAAATACCGATATATTTACCGAAATTTACCGGTAATTTTTTCGGTTTTCCTATTACGTTACAATTTTCATGATGATTATAAGCAGTTATTTGAAGCTGATATTATGTTAACGAAGTTAGATCGAAACCGATATAGTACTGAAATTGCTGTAGTACCAAGAAACCAATATAATTACCAGCATTTTTCTGGTAATATGTATAGTGTGATCGCGAATGAGAAAGAATAAGATAGTTGTCCCAATTGTCGATCAGTCAGTAAAATGTCGACACTTTTTTAATGGAAAAATGAAAAATAAATCTTTTTGATTTTAACAGTTAATGTTAACACTACTATCGATAATAGCGAAGGAAAAAATTAGAATCTATGTGTATTTAAATGTGGAAGAGACAACTGGAAATAAAAATGTTGATGTCCCAGAGGTCGATCACTAATTTACGGCCGGAACTTGTTGTCAATCAGTAATTGTCGTAGTAGTCGATCAAGAAAAAGGGAGTTATAAAGAAAGCTTAAAGCACAAAAACGGGTAAAAAATAATTCTGAAACTAAAATGCTATTAAGATCGTAATATTTATAAAAATGATCGAGAACTCGGTCTTGATCGACAACGGGGATAATTACCTCACAATGTTACAAAAGAACTAATCCGTATCTTGTGTCAATTTGACAGTTTTCTCCTAAGAAATAACGTTATTCTTTAAAATAAAAAAGAATTTGCACATTTAACTATTTAGAACTTCATTATATTAATTTTTACCACTGGGTCAATTTGACACCAAGTTATGTTATGTTTTATTCAGACGTTATGTCGGGATACTAATTCTATGTTATTAAATATAGTCCGATTTATGTCGGGTTTGGACTTACTTCATCAAGAGAATCTCCTACATTTATGTATAACATTTTTAAGAAAGTACAAGCTCGGTTACCCATCACTACCTACGACGAAAAGTTATGACAACTTGCCAACGAATATCCAACGTTGGGCCTACAATTATTATAGTTGGTTAATTAACAAGAAATTTACAACGATAATACAACAGTGTCCCACCCAAAGTTTGACAACAATTAAATATCCTCTTAAAGACGTCAGAAACGTTGCTACAACCAAAAACTTGTTATTATATGTCAAATTGATTTTTTTGTTTTCGATATTTATAAATATACTCACAATTTGTTACTGTCGCCCAACACGTTTGACATTTGACATTTTGTGAAAATGGAGTCAGGGGACAGAAGATTGGAAATAACTTATAATAATTATTTGTAATAATTAGCTACATGTATGTGGGATCGGGACCTCCATACCCAACAAGAAGGAGCAAATAGCATCATTGGAAAATAGGAGGGCTCTGTGGAGCAGAATGTAGAGTCTCGGCTTGCGACACCGGGGGTCGTTGGTTCGAATGCCGCTTGGGTCCCTCTCATTTTTCCACAACGGTCCTACATTTGGGGGCTCGTCCGGGATAGAGGAGGCACCTTACGACCACGCGAGGCGACGATGATGACGAAGAAAGGGGCACGTCTCCCAGAAGTCGAAAAGTGGGAGGGAGACTGTTATCCGAAAAAGACGAAGAAAGAAGACGTACGCAGAAGACATTGGAAGGCGAATGTCAGTGCAGGATGGCCGAGTATGGGATCGGGGACCCTCCATCTAACGCTCCTACATGTCTTATAATTGTACATAATAATTTTTAAAGGTAACTTTGCTGATAAAATACTTAGTTATTTGTTTAATATACATATAAAATTTATACATGCATATAATTATTATAACAAGTAATTATTATAAATATTATTTCCAGTGTTATACTCTTTCAAATATTTTTAAAGCTTTTTATGAAAGTGTAGTATAGCCAACTGTCTCCCAAGTGTTGGTTTATTGTAGATACTCAACAGAAGAGATACTCCTACAGAAAGAAACCTTCAGTTGGTTCTTCGTATTATAATGGCGTAAGCGTAACGTTGGGTATGATCGTTGGCCCACTTGCAAAAAAGGGTGACAATTCTCCAACTGTTGGCCAACCAATACTGCAACAAAGGCCCAACACAATGCCAACAATAATTTGATATGCCCAATGTGTGAAAAAAGACAGAAAAAAGAATCTTTTTAAAATAGAAAATATAATAAGTGTTACGAACTATATAATTAATGTTGTTATTTTTGTTAACTAGACCCTTTCTAATAATGTAATTTACAACTCAATAATTTCTTTCCTTGTCACGAATAAAGTTACAGTGCGACAAAGTTAAAAATGTATAGTGTCCAAATCCTATTAAAGTTACTCACTGTATGTATACATAAGTATGTGTATGTTCCTAATCACAGGAGGCGGTTCTCGGCGAGAATTCCCGGCCGGAGCATACCCACTGGTACGCTTGCCAGTCTCCAGCCATTGTCCGACCACTGTCGTCGCCGTATGCTTTGCCAAACTGTTTTGTTTCAATATTGATAACAAAACATGACTTAAGTACTACTTTTGTTGATGCTTTCCAAAGGAAGAATGTCTGCAGTATCGCGTGGTGCCGTCAGATTTTCTCCTAAACCCATATTTTTTTAAACAAATTGAAAAATATCTGCAAAATTTAAATAAAAAAAAATTTGTAATATACCACGTTTTTAAGACGGACTAAATAGTATAAAATTATTTTTCCTAGCCCCATACAGATAGTCCTGAAAATTTGTGATTGTGAATTTTTAATAGCTATGAAAATACTTGTAAGATTTAAAACGAAAAACGTGGAGCGCATGAAATAGATAATTGATGCATGAATAGTTCACCTAAGTCACTAACAATTTTGTTGCACTACAAATGATATGAACTGTTGTGTGAGTTTTCTCAACGGCAGCTACTCTCTACACTCCTTACTATAATACTAGATAATTCATGCATGAATAGTTCACCTAAGTCACTAACAATTTTGTTGCACTACAAATGATATGAACTGTTGTGTGAGATTTCTCAACGGCAGCTATTCTCTCACGTTTTTCGTTTTAAATTTTACAAGTACTTTCATAACTATTAAAAATTCACAATCACAAATTTTCAGGACTATCTGTATGGGGTTAGGAATCTGTATGGGGTTAGGAAAAATTATTTTATACTTTCTAGTCCGTCTTAAAAACGTGGTATATTAAAAATTTTTTTTTATTTAAACAATTATTTTCTGCTATTTAGTCTTGTGTGTGTGAAATTTTTCAATCGATTTTAAACATTTTGGTGAGATTATAACAGAGACATGTGGTGAATTTCAGGTTTATTTCAGTTTCTCTTCGCGAAATTCACAGTTTAAAGGTAGGACAGACAAACGGACGGACAGATAGCGTAAGCTTAGTAATAGGGTTCCGTACGGAACCCTAACGAACAGACAGACAAGAAAGCGAGTTAATATTACATTGTCATCCAGTTCTGAGCTATGTTTAAAGTTTCAAGTCTCTAGCTCATCGGGAAGTTAATTTAAAATCAATTTCAAAATTTGTACCGAACAGACAAACAGACAGACAAGAAAGCAAATTAATACCGAACAGACAAATGGACAGACAAGAAAGCGAGTTAATAAAAACGTGGTAAAATGGGTGCATTTCGGGTGTCCTTTTCCTTTGATCGTTTAAACATGTTAAAATGTTCATAATGCAATAACAATATATACAATTTTATTCGGGAGAATTTATAGAATTATATGTGACGCAACAATCAACCGAATAACTATTACTGCTTGAACACAGTAATTGACCAAAGTTGAAAATTTGCATTTTTTTTTCAAAATGAAATTTTTCGAAAACTAAGGGTGCTGGCGCAAAACAATTTGCAGATTCGTATTCAGGGCACAAAAATCTACAAGAACCGACTATTGAATGTTAGAAGTCCGAAAAAAAGTTGAAATTTGTTGAACGGTGTTATCGAAAACAATCGATTCCGGTCGTCAAAACGGTCCCGGTAATCGAGATGATCGCAAGGATGAAAAAGATCGACGACAGCACAGTCTCGTCACGTTTCGCTTTTTCAAACGTTTCACGGTCGCATCATGGAGGAGATAACTGGACAAACAGCTTTAATTGTGAGCTGTAAAGCACACTTTTTGCAAGTGAGATAAAACACGTGGAAAATGCCTGATGGGCGTGATAATGAGTTCCACAAACGGTGAGGCGTGACGATGTTGATAACGACACGAATTGATGTCGAAAGTTTTACAGAAGCTTCGCATTCGAATTTCCGTTTCTATTCTGCTACAGTGGTGTTTCTTTTATTCAAGTAACTTGGCCGACCACAATTATTGTTTATAAGGTAAATGTCCCAGTGATTAGACGTTTAAAGCGAAGATTGCGGTTACCAAGACTTTTTATATATTAAACTAATATAGATTGGCAAAAAAGTACATTCAATCGATAGAGCAGAACTTCCTCTTTCAGACAAGTCGTTATAAGAAAGCGTGCACGTGAAAAAAAGTATTAAAATTTATAAATATGTAAAAGTATTCATTTGGCCGAGTGATTGGACGGAATTTATGGCATGTACTAGTGATTATATTTAGCTGTCCCAGTGTTTGGACATAACATTCAATAAACTCTTCATAGATGATTTTTAATAGTAAAACATGATACTTTTCTTTTGTTGTTGTAAAAATTCAAATAATACGTAACAAATTTAATTTAATGCAATAAATAAAGCAAACAAAATTACAAATAAATAAAATAATAAAAATTATGAACTTAATCTATAAATGTATACATTGTAAATTAATAAATAAATAACACTAAGGGAACATTACATCTTATTATTATGTATATA